TCAACAAACCTGTCTCTTGCGGGGACAGCTCTTCCTGCCACTTGTGTCTATGCAAGTGTCCTTTATTTTCCTTGTCTTTTCATAATAAACCTGCCCTTTTGAACATAACTAAATGTGCCTGTGTTGTGGGGAAAAGTTGCCTCGGAAAACACCATTTGCAGCATAAAGGGGAGATCTGGTGAAACTTTTCTTGTAGGTAACCCAAGGACCCTGCTCTCTGAACCCAGCAACTCTCCAAACTGACATCAATAATACTTTGGGGCCTGGAGGTGCTGAGCATAGACACTTTTTAAAAGTTCCACCTTCAACTCTAACAGGTAGCCCAAGCTAAAAACCACTGTTGTCAGAAAAGGAATGTTCTATATAAAGGAAATTGAACACTATGGTATTACGGTGAAGATTCAGCAAATAGAACTGATAGAAAACACCACAAAAGGGACCAGATAATAAGTAGTTCGGAATGTTCAATGGCCTGGGTATGAAACCAGTGAGAAGTTTCATTATTTCTCAGAATTATTGGGCTCTAGCAAGTGAGATAATATGACAGGGGATGATTTCTCAGAATTATTGGCATGCCAAGGGGTGGTATTGTTGAGGAGAGTGGAAAGTGAAAATATCTGGACATTTGTCCTGGAATTAACCAGATCTGTAGATTTGTAATTAATAAAATAAGGATAGTTGAGGGAAAAAATATGGTTTGTAAATCTATCTAGGACAGTGGAATTCTCGAGCAATAAGCAAAAAGGCTTGCTTATGGACAAAGAATGCAAAACAACATGATATCTTGTCTTTTGTTTTGCAAAGGGTGACCACATGATAGGAGAAAAGAAACACAGCAGATGTTGCATTTTTGAACTTGAGTTGCAGCATTTCATACAGCAACTCATGAAATCTTAATTGCTAACATGGTTCCAATTGGCAGGGAGAGCAAGTCACATGGAATGAATACTAAGAAAAGATTACAAAGGGAAGGTGAGGCTCTGTCAAGTCTGCATCAAGAAGAGGTGCTCAGAGAGTGCCCTGCCCTCGGGTCGATGTTTGCTCACTTTAGATTGAATCTAAAATTCTAATTAGCAACGTGGAAGAGAAAACAAAAGACCCCTAAAACAAATAGGAAGAAGACTTGCAAGGAAGATGCTGGCAAAACCCAGGGAGCAGAGCAGACTGAGATGGGTGAGCCCACAAGGTTTAACCTATGGACAAAAACAACAGAAAGCTGAGACTATTTATAATAAGGCAAGCTAGCTCATCGGAGGAACATTAATCAAAACCCCTTATAATGCAGAAACAAAAGGACTCATACCACAAAAATGTCTAAACTAACAGGGGTAAAAGTGGACAGCACCCTGGTGAGATCAGACTGGAGAGGAACCAGCAAACCTGTCCCACCCCACCCTACCCACCCAGCCTTCTAATCAGTGTCAGCCTGAGCATGGGCAAAGGCAAAGCGAGCTCAGTGCATTGATTTACAGCTCTGGATGACTTCTTTCTAGAAAAATATAATATCACCAGGCATGTCTACTAGCTAAAAATTTCACTTCATGACCTTTTGCCCAACCACTGTCAAGCTTTGGTCACCATGTACAAATAACCAAAACCTAAAAAGCATTCATACATTAACAGCCTTCCTATAAGAAGAAAACAGGGTGTTGACTAGTCAAAGGGAGAAAGGAATTTTCAACAACCACCAAGGACTGAGTACCTGCTGTGGGTCTAGCCCTATATTACACACATTATTCATCGTTCCACTTAACGACCACGGCAGCGTTGTAAGGCACTGTTGTACACAGGACCTGTGCAGTTAAGCAACTTGGTAAGAACACACATCTAATGAGTGCAAGTGTCTGTATCTGAACGTGCGTCTCTTGGGCCCCACAATGGACACCTTTTCCCTGCAGTGTGAAGAGAGCTCTTGCACATCTTCTCCCTAGTCCCAATTCTGCCTCCAAAGCCTTGAAAGCATCATTCAACTGTACTTGCACATAGACACTTCCGCTGGGGCTCAGCCAATAAGCAAGTCTCTCCTTGACGGTGTTGATGGTTTCCACCACTGTCACTGCCCCTCCAGCCCACTCCCAAGCCAGGGAGGACAAAGAGCTCCCTCTTCTGAGAGTGTCCCTACTCCATGGAAATGCTTCATGCAGCACTTTGTGATTTCTAACTTCTAGGGAGTCACCTCTGGCCCACTGGATCAAAAGTCAGGCAGAAGAAATTAAAAAATAGATTAATAAAAAGTCAGGCAGAAGGGATGGAAGGGGGCTATCTGGTAGTGCGGTGTGTAAAAGGACATATAGGGAAACACAGGATTCCTTGAGACAGGCAGATAGCAGAGCTGTTAACACTTCAGACACTGGAGCCAGAGTGTCTGGAGGTAAATCCTGGTGCCATCATTTTCTATGTGAGTTTGAGTAATTCCCTGCGCCTCAGCTTCCTCCCTGCAAAATGAGTTGCAATGAGTATTCAGGGTGAAGCACATGGTAATGACCAAAGGGTGCTACAAAAAACAAAATGCAGGAGAGGCAAAGATCCAGAAGCCTCAAAATGCACTCTCAACATTCCTAGACAAAGACTTTTCATATACTTACTGCCCTTGTTTACTTCCCTGGGGATGATTTCTTGTTTTTTCCGGTGTTACATAGACTAATATGCCTCTGAAGTTGATCGTGCAACTCTTTATCCCAACATGGGGGATTACAAACAAGCAAAGTGAGTGTGCACTGGAGTTGGGCAGCTGCCAGCAATGGGCCTCGTTTGGCAAACAGAAAGGAAGGTTTCCTGGGTGGAGTTGAAGGGGAAATGATCATGAAGTTGGATTCCAAAAGGTCCAATCTGACCATTTCCAGCAATAACAGATGCTTTTTGCTGACTTTAGATAAGGCTTTCATGTTTTCGACCTCTTGGGCAAACTGAGAAGCTGTTGAGATGTTGAAAAATTAAAACTGAACACAGGGTGCCTGAACCCAAGGAAAACATAGATGAATAAGTCCAGACAAGCCAGCAGGCCCCTCTTCCCACCACACCTCATCATCTAGTAGTCTCCCTTAGCTGTGACAGCTGTCACTGTGGCTGCCACCCAAATGCTAGGCACATGCGACCCAACCCTGCTTCTACCACAGAGGAGAGGGAACGGGAAGGGGCCCTTGCTTACCCAGTGGGGTGCATTCCACAGGACAGGGGTTCCCATCACGCAGCCTCCAACATGAGAAGGGGAAAGGCAGGCACTCTGACACAATAATACACACTGCTGTGTCCTGGCCCCAAAGGCAACACAGGATGCCATCCTTGGATTTCTTGAGATGTTCCAATATCTAGAACATAGTAGGTTCTCAACACATATCTGCAGGGTGAAAGAGTGAAAGAATGCTTGCAAAGGGGTCACTGGGTCACTGTAATCCACTCCTGAAAAGGACAGGGGAAAAGCATTTTGCCAAATAAGGCACATGATAATAAGAGGCCAGCCCGGGGGAGGCGCACCCGACTTGGCATCTGGCCTCTAGACGAGTGTGTGAAAGAATCTCCCAAGGTTCCTGTTAAACATGCAGAGTGTAGAACCCCATCCCGCAAGAACTGAGATTCCAGGGTGGGGCTCAGGAATTTGCCTTTTAAAACAAGTTCTACAGAGATTTCCCTCCAGGTGGTTTGTGGTCCCTGACTACGTGCTCTAGGTCCGACCCCACTGGTAGCCTTCCCCTCTTCAGTTACAAAGATGGTCAGCGTGCGGCCCCACCCATCCCCCCCTCAAGAGAACTCCTTTATCCTCCCAAAAATGAATGGATGCCATAACTTCCAAGATCTAAGTGCAAACAGAGATATTCTGGAGGAAATGGTTTGTAAAGCAACTCATCAGCAAACAAGCCCAGGTCAGCCCCAAAAGGAGTTTCTGGTGGGGCCAAGCGGTAAGAAAAAGAGAGAAACATTATCTGAACCAAAGCCCCTGCCCCACTAAAATTCCTGTAACGTGAAGTAAGAGCCTGCTGCATAAAAACATGTGTCCTTGGAGAGAAAATTCCTGGAAAACGCAGAGGTTTTTCTTGCTTAGTTTTAGAGAGAGTGCAGGGCCAATCTCTCCATTATAAAATATGGGTAATAAGAGTTCAGTGTCCTGCAAAACAGCACAAAAACTTATTTTGATGTTATTAGTGGCTTAATTCTAATAATGGGTTTTTAAGAGGAATAAAATAATAAGGACATTCTTCTGAGTAGAGTATCCTTACAGAGAGCCAGAGAAGGGACTTTACAGTTACAGTTAAGGGACTTGGCCTTTAGAAAGTCACCTGAGCTTGGAGGGGTGTGTTCTTGACAGCTCAAGTCAACACAAACCTCAGAGCTTGGGAAACAGACCCTCTCTGAACCAGGGTTCAATGTTTCACCAGGTGTGTGCAAAGAAACAAAACACAGGAATGAGGAGGAACTGGCAAGCTTAGTTCCCAACTTTAATCCAATGAAATGAAATGCAATATGCATACTGTATCCAGAAGGGACCAGAAAGACAATGCCAGACATCACCTCGAAACTGCTGGAATGCAGTCTGTCAACATGGGTTTCTCCCCTCTGCAGCAACCTGATTCCCCACCTTCTTCTCAACCAAGATTCTCTTCTGTTCTGTTCTTCTAAAGTTGGTTGTTTGCCTAATAAATACTTTTGGAAGTGTGGAGAAATGATCCCTTTTGCCTGACGTGAGTACGCGTGTCAGTCCAGAGCAGTGTTCAACCCCAAACTTGAGAAAAGAAGAAACCCTTAAAGTCTCTGTAGAATTTTAAAGAATAATAAGTGATAGATCTGGAAGTTCTATTTACAAATGAATTAGACCCTAAAAGTTTCTCTTTTTTTAATATTTTATTTTATATAATTCTTACATCATTTTTCATCTTTGCACAATGTATGTATTTTCATTATGGTTATATTCCCCATACAATTGCACCCCCCCCCCTTATTTTGACTCTAGTCCTTCCTCTCCCCGCCCTTCCCTCTCCTTCCCCCACCCGAAGTAATGTGTCTCTGGTTTAGAGTTGCTTGTTGATGTTGATTTTTACTTTGTATTGATTAGCCTTTTTCCTGGTCTCTTATTTAGGTTTTCTAAATTCCTGCTATGAGTGAAACCATCTGGTATTTTCTTTTTCTTTCTGACTTATTTCGCTGAGCATGATCCCTTCTAGCTCCATCCATGTTGCTACAAATTGCATGCGTTTATCTTTTTTTGATTGCTGAGTAATATTCCATGGTGTATATGTACCACATCTTCTTGATCCAGTCATCTATTTTTGGGCATTTGGGTTGTTTCCATAGCTTAGCTGCACAGCAAAAGAGACAATAACCAAAACAAAGAAACCCCACCGACTGAGAGAACATTTTTGCACACAACACTAATGATAAAGGACTGATCACAAAAATCGACTAAGAGCTGATGAGACTCAACAAAAACAAAGAAAATAATCCAGTCAAAAAATGGGCAGAAGAGCTAAAAAGAAACTTCTCTGAAGAGGAAATGCAAATGGCCAACAGGCATATGAAAAAATGTTCAACATCACTTGTCATCAGGGAAATGCAAATCAAAACTACCATGAGACCCCATCTTACACCAGTGAGAATGGCACATATTAAAAAAACTAGCAACAACCAATGTTGGCGAGGATGTGGAGAAAAAGGAACTCTCCTGCACTGTTGGTGGGAGTGCAAACTGGTCCAACCACGATGGAGAGCTGTGTGGAGATTTCTGGACCTACTAAACATAGAGCTTCCATATGATCCAGCAATTCCACTCCTAGGTATTTACCCAAAGGACACAGAAACATTAATTCCAAAGGGCACTTGCACCCCTATGTTCATAGCAGCACTATTTACTAAAAGTTTCTTTTAAAATTCATTGTTTAAAAGTCGGAACAGGGACCTCCCTGGTGGCGCAAGGGGTTAAGAGGCAACCTCTGAAGCTCGAGGCAGCCACTGCAGCACATTGGATCCCCGGCCAGGGATCTACCCGCATGGTGCAGCAGACCTCTCCTGACTGGCCTGCTACACCCCTCAGCAGTGTATTTTAGTCATTCTGCCTGTTCTGCTCCCCACTCTGTCTCTGATGACTCCTCTCACCCCTGCCCCCCCACACCTCTGGCCTGTAACCCAGTTCTTGTATGTATAAATAAATAAATCTAAAAAAAAAAAAAAAAGTCAGAACACATTTGTCCAAAGTGTTATAAAAATTCATGAGGTATGCAGTTCAGATGCTATGACTTCACAATGTTGCTGAAATCATGCATGTGCAGGGAAAACATTTCTGTCGCATATTACAATTAACATAAAATAATTTATACAAAAATATTTAAAAGAACAATCCTTAATGATGACAACTCAGGAAAAAATATTCAATTGGAATCTGATGAAAGATTTTTTTTGTAGAAACTATAAGAAAATCTAGATTCAGGAGGACTTTAGATTCTTATTGCACATGATTTTTACAATTCAATTAAATTATTTTTAATTACATTAAAAGGAAAAGGAAAAAACAAATGATGTACAGTCATTAAGGATCTAACTATGGTTAATATTCTAATATATATCTATGTAGAATTTTTATACTAAACATATATGAATGTATTTTTTAGTTGGAAAATACAAAAATGGTTATAATCTGCTTTTTATTTACTTTACTATAAAATTGTCCATTTTATCATACGATCATTAACATTACATAGTAGGTTTCTCCTTACTCCTGGCCAAACTGAAACAAAAAAATTATTTCTCATCTAAATTTTTATTTATTTGATCACCAGTGAGGTTGGTGTTTGCTTTCCTTCAATTTAATGGCACTGGCATTTTTTTATATTCATTAATTATCTTTTGTGTCTTCTAACTACTTTCCTCTTAGAGTACTCTAGAGTACTCAGTTTCCTTTGAGTTGAATAGATTATGAATATATATATGTATCTCCTTGGTTTTATATATATGCATACGTGCACACACACACACACCCATATGAAACACAAGTTTTTCCATTCCATATAGGAAATCATTTCCATTGTGTCTTAATTTATCCTTCCAGTGCTTCTTTGAGCAAACTTTAAAACAATTATTTATTTGATCCATCTGGAATTTGTATAGGGTATTGCATTTGGGTTTTTTTTTGTTTTTGTTTTTGGGTTTTTTTTTGTTTTTTTTTTTAAGATCTATTTATTTATACAAGCACTAGGTACAGTCAGAAGCGCAGGAGGGTGAGAGAATTCACCAGAGCCAGAGCGGGGAGCAGAGCAGGCAGAAGGACCGAAGTACACTGCTGAGGGGAGCAGCGGGGCGGCAGGAGAGGTCTGCGTGCCATGTGGGACTCTCGCCCGGCGGCCGGGGATTGAACTGGTGCTGAAGGGGCTGCGGGCAGCTTCGAAACAGGGTATTGCATTTTGAAAAGGATTGGTTTTCTAACTAAATTTTCTAAGTGGTTATGGTTGATAGCAAAGAAAAATATCTGAACATTTAATTTGAATACATACATCTTGTTGATTTTTAATATGCTTTCAGTTGATTGTCTTGGGTTTTTTGATAGACAATCATATCAACTTTTTTATTTATAGTGATCATTTCATCCTCAACTTTCGAATAGTATTTTTTTCCTAGCTCTTGTTTTATACATCTTAAAAAAAACCACCATTTTTCTTTGCAAAAGACTTATGGTTGTACTACTTCTGCTTTTTAATCTTAAGAATCTTTTTCTATCTACAAAGAATGGCCAGGGCCCCCCTGGTGGCTCAGGGGTTAAAGACAGTGGGATCAGCCATTGTGGCACATGGTCAGTGCCCGGCCAGGGAGCTACCCACATGGTGCAGCAGACCTCTCCTTTGTGGCCCGCTGCTCCCCTCAGCAGTGTGTTGCAGTAGATCCACCTGTTCTGTTCCCCTCTCTGTCTCTGGTGAATCCTCTCACCCCCTGCATCTCTGGCCTACACCCCAGTATGCATAAATAAATAAATCTTTAAAAAAAGAGAGAATGGCCAACATTCACTATGAAACCTTAACTCATTTCAGAAAATTTGGAGAGTTCATGATCTAGGAAAGGCATTGCCTGATGACACCAGTTAATAAAGAGATGGTCACATATTCAACAAATACCTAGTAATTACTAAATAATTCAGTCTAGTAAATCATTGCCAGTTGGGCCAAAAGTCAAAGATATCACTCAACCTTTCCTCATTTCAGGTTAATGGCAGTTACAGCAACATTTACCATGATGAAAATGGAGTTGTTTAACCCCCACCATCCCAAACAGAAGAGGATATTACACTTACAATATCTCCATCAGGCCCTTGTAGTTGGCATGCCTGAGACATGAAATCACAGAGAATTTCTCTCATGAACCCCCTAAAACATGTCAGCTAAGAGCCTGTAAACATGCAAGTATGGTATTTAATCATAGATTAGTAAGCAACACAGAAAAATCAGGTATTTTTCTCATATGTACTCCTTAAATAATTTATCTATTGCTATTAAACTCCCCAGTGGAAATTCCCCCTGGTGTTGAGGTTAGTAGTAGTAGTAATAATAGTAACATCTGTTGAGAAGTTACCGCAGCCCCAGGCATTCTACTAAGTACTGAATATGGTATTTTCATTTCAACCTCACATTTGTCCTAAGAAGTAGAAACTAGTGCCTTCATTTTACCAGAAGTAAACTCAAAAGAGTAAATGTTTTACCCAAATTCAGTTAGCAGGAAGATAGTGAGGAAGGTTTACAGTATTGTAAGTGCTGATAACTTGGACTAGGTCCCGAGAGGGGAAGCAGAGAGGAGTGGATCTGAGCACACTTTGCAGACAACAGGTGCTGACACACTCAGTGTAACAGGTAAAGAAGCAGCAGCCAAGAATGACCACTGGGATTCTGGCTTGAGTAACTGAAAATGGCATTTATTTATATAAGGAAGATTGTGAGCACACTAAGTTGGCATACGTTCCTCAAAAGAGCATGTTGTAGTCATGTTATATAACACACACACAGACACACACACACATACACATATGCATTTATGCATTTCTTAATATGCTCCTGGAGGAGAGTGTTCTTTCATTGCTGTTGTTCATATTGTCTTATCAATATGAAAGAGACCTTCAACCAGGACTTTGAAGTCATCTGTATGGTTGAGGTTTTGATAATGTTTTGGTTCTTTGAAGTAAGTCACACTCCCCCAGGGAAAATCTAGCATCAAACCACCTCCCAAGTGGCCTTCCCCCTTCTCTGTGGAGCAGAGACAACAGTGTTGTCTAGAAAAGGCTTTTCTTTGTCTGTTCTCCCTTAGAGCACATTCTTCATTTCAAAGCTCTCTAGTCTTTGCCAGCCCAGAATTTTACTAAAACTGAACAAGTTCCTCATGTTGGATGACAATTCTGAAGGTTTGCTCCTAACTTGCAGAGGTTTCTTTCACTGGTGTGGTTGTTTTGATTTGCATCCGGAAATGCCTTGTTTGTACCACTTCAATTTTATAGCTTTTATTTCCTTTGAATTTCAGGAAATAGTGGGTATTGAAAAGAATAGATATTTCAATTCAAACAACTAGAAGGTGGAATTGAGCACATAGAGCATGGGTCTGATGTTTGAGAGTCACAACCAGCACAGCATGGAAGGTGTTTCTAGCGAGCTCTACAAGGATGTCTGCCCAGCTTCTAGCACATCATTTTGTTAATTTTAAGAAAGATTTTGGTAACTCAAAAAAATAAGTAATCAATAGTAAGGAGATGGTATATATTGAATACCATTTTTGTTTCACCATAGATTGAAAACCATGCCCTGCTTCAATTTACCTACATAAGACTTTATTATGTAAGGGGGGGTATAGAAGGGGTGGGCCTAATCACAGGTACTGGTTTCCTTCTAGATCATACTTTAGATAGCGTAATTCATGGGGCAACAGTTCCTAGGGATATTAACAGGCATTCTAAAGCGGTAAAGGATCTGGGTTCATATGGGTAATGCTAGATTAAATAAACTTAAACAAGTTTCTTTATTATAGATGTCTAAATCTTTAACATGATGCTAATTTTCATTCTGCATCTCCAGTGCAATCTCTTTAACTGTTTCCCAAATTTATTTAATCCAGAACCTTACTGTTGATAAGTGTTTCGAGGCACATATTTTTGGGAAGCTCTACTCTAAAGGAAAGAAAAAAACACAATGAAGTCCTCAGTTAAAAAGAACCTCATTTTAAATTAGTAGATAAGGGAGAGGTCACAAGAAAATATGGCCCCACACTTCTCATGGAGCCCATCCCCGCACTTGGTCACTGAAATAGAGGGCCGTCATTGTACTGGGGGCTTAGCACC